CTTAATAATTTACAAGCGGTAACTCATCTCGGTCATCTGATGAGTTAATCTAAAGACTATAGACACGCGGTAACATTTTGGTACTAAAAACAAACTTTTTTGTATGTAGCACTTTGAACATCAATATGCAATTGTTTATTTCATTATAGAAAAATATGCAACACTTTGAACGTTAGTGTGCAATACAAATAGCGTATAAATGCATCATACAAATATTTGTACAATATGCTCTATTTGTACCATATTCATCTCCTCTATGTATATTACAATATCTCATTTCAAACATCAATGTCTACTATGTATATATGTTTTTAATTCGACTAGATTTATCTAACATGGTCTCATCTAATCTGGTTCAAACTGTTCTAGCTTAGTCTGATATATGTCTATTTTATATGTATTTTATTATCATCGAAATCTTATCCAGTCTGATATAATCAGGTCCGATATGATATGATATGTTTAAGTCTAATTTGCTCTGATTTAACCAAGGATGGAAATCAATGTAATTATAAAAATATTATATGTACAAATTTATACTAGGCTCACATATTTAATTAAACATTCTATAAATGTATACAGGTGGCCCATAAGATGGGTTTCCACTAGGATTCTCTCATTTTTTCATTTCTTTTCATCCCACTAATATTGTCTCGTACCAAATTTGGTAACATGTTTGTTATTCTAACTTCTAAATCATTCTTAATCTATTCTTACTTTATCAATTCAATATCAACCACATAAACTCACTTTTCTTAATAAAACTGAAACATCCTCATGTCCCAATGTTAGTGTGACGAAGGTAGTATTACATAAATATGAAATGACATTGTATGTTTAGGCTTGTGATCGGTTCGGTTCTGGCTAAAATTCGATGGATAATATTAAAAATTGTAGGCGTTAAATTCGGTTCGCTTCTTGTAAAAGAATGTAGTTGTTAAATTCGATTCGATTCTAGTTAAATTCGGTTCGGTTCTTACCTTTTTTGGTTCCTTATAAAATTTATTATCCTCTAAAATGAACACATTTTTACCTTTAGTTACGTAAAAAAATCAAATTTCAAATCATAGAAATAATTGTCGAAATTATGACCATTATATTATACATACATGATATTCCAATGTTCAAATATCACAAAAATTTCCAAGTGCAAACATTAAATAAACATAACAAAAACATAAAGGTTTAAAACAGGCATCAAATGCCAAGCAAAAATGTTTTATAGCTCCAAGGTACACATCCATCCAATTACACGTAGTTCAACCCCAAAATAATATTCTTATACTACTATTGCAACATAAGTAAAAAGTAAGTAATAATAAACTAGCCAGTAATATTAGTAATTTACTATGAACAAATAACAACTTAATTAACAAAACATTAATTCCATTCTGAGGTGAACTGAAATAACATATACAATTACAAACAAACAATACGTATAAAAGTGGACTAAAGTAGTAAAATAAAAACTACTCAGGTTGGCTTGGTCCATGATATATATATATATATATATATATATATATATATATATATATATATATATATATATATATATCATATTATGCAAGACAAATATTTCTTACAGGAAATTCCTGACCGGAACACCGTCTGGCCACCTCCATTTGAGGTGCTTTCGGGTAGATATTCTTCATAAAAATCTTAAATTCCCGATATTCTTCATTTTTTAGTCTATCACAAAATTGTCTCTCTTTAAAAAAGTGAACTATGATATGTGTTGAGCCAAATAATTGGTTATTTTTAGGAGCAAAGAGAGCACTCATTTTATTTGTTCTTGTTTTTATTGTCTTATTTTTCTTTTATACATTCCTGATTTGATATGGAGTAGATGTTACCTCAAACTTTGTTAACTGTTATTATCAGAAAAGATGAGATTAGACTAGACACGAGTACCTTACCACACTATAATTAAAGACATGAAAGAGTACCACGATTATTAAAAAAATAAAATTATGTAACTATATATACATAATTTCTATGATCAAAGTAATAATGTATCGTAACACATAAATATTACAAACTGTATTGCGGAATGAACATAGTGTGACATGTGAGAAAGAATAAAGGGGAATTGCCCTAAATATGATTAAATGCATTTGTGTATTCCAAAATAAGCCTGTCATATTTTTATTTTGTAAATATGAGTAACTACTGTCATGTTTTGACAGTACCAAATTTTAAACATAATATTGTAATATTTTTTCAAGTTTGACAATAGTTACTTCTATTTTAGATTTCTCAAAATTTTACTTCTATTTTGAAAATTTTATCGACTAACTCTACAAAACACACACAATATGAAACATTTTTACCATTTTAGACTACTTCAAATCTCACTAGACTAAATCTAAACAAATTAAAGCCCTTTTGGTATACCCTATTTTCAATTTATCAGCCTTATCAGATGACTTTTAAACCAAACACACAACTTTTGATATCGCACGCTGAATTGTGTCAATATCAAAGTAAGTAAGATTGAAGTTACTCTTCTGACATAATTGGCTACATACGTCTGCAATTACTCTAGATGACCATTTTAGCTTATTTTTTCATATAATATTTTAATTAAAAAATATGTAGTGTATTTTAAACATTATTCAGTCAATTTAGCCGCTTAAGTTAGAACTTCATCAATTTCAACAGATTAATGAATCGATTCAGCCAATTTATGTGTTATCAATTGAGATTTAAATTGAAACATAACAAACCAAACTGATTTCGATAAGAGTAAAATACAATAAAACATATATTATACGGAGTACTAAGGCTATGTTTGTCATGGCACTTCAGCTCAAAATGAGCTGAAATTTCATAAATCCAGCTAATTTATTTAAAAGTAACAGTGTTTGGATGAAAAACTTAAGTGAGCTGGAGCTAGAAAATATTGGCTGAACTAAAACGTTAGTAAACATAGCGTTTCCACTGGTAAATTATATCGTACACCCGGTTGTATGGTGCTCACTGTACAACCGGGTATTTTTGCAATTAATTACAACTTTGGTGGTAAAGATTAGGGATGGAGAAGGCATCGAAGACTTATGTTTGCTGCTCGCTGATGTACTGGGAATCGATGGAGGAGGTGCCGACGACTTCTGTTGCTCGCTTGTTGAATTCTTGTTTCCTAGGGATTGGTGAAGGAGGTGCCCGCCTGGGAGTTGAATGAAGGATAATCGTGCACGTTGTGGCCTAAGTTCTCAAATTCTAGAGGACCAATTTCAACTTTAATTTGTATTTTAGTATTATATTTTGATATTATATTTTAATAATGTGTGTTCATATTTTCAGCTTGTTAATTATTAACATAAATTTTATGTTATATTGAAAATGAGTGCAATGTTTATAATAATTGCGCATAACATTTAAAAGAATTGAACATACGTAAGTGAATATTTTATCACGTTAGAAAATTCAAATGAGCATATACAAATGAAAATTTGAGTATACTATAGATTTAAATGAGCTTTTTGAATTTTTCATTGCTCATTTCGTAAGTTATGTATGATCATTTGATATTGGTGTAATGCTCATTTTAAAATATTATATTCATGCATATTTCAAAAGTATAATATTAAATTAGATTCACATATCGGACTCGTACAGATTTATTGTAGGTATTTTAAAAAATAATAAAAAAAGAGTGAATTAAAGATATGAAACAGAGATTACGATATTCATTATTATACATTTGATACTCAAAAAAATAGGTCTCATGCTCTTTAAAAATACATTAATGCTCATTAAGCGGATGCTGTGAATTTCATTTAATTTACCAAAATGCCACCGGCTGTACAGTGCTCACCATATAGCCGACTGTACGATATAGGTACTCGTTTCCACAAAGCTGAACATATGATACACCGTGTGTACTAAATTATCCTTCTATGCATATACTTTCTCTTACCCTTACATTTCTCACAACCCACATGCCATCACCTCTGCTTCATCACTCTAAATTATCTTCTACTCCCTTCGTCCCTAATCTTTCTCCCTTTTCGGCTGGGCACATTTATTAAGATAGTGAGATTTGTGTGGTGGAGAGTTGTGTAGAGGAGAGAGAAATGTGTAAGAATGTGTAAGAATGGTTGTGAACCACAAATTTTTTGCTAAAAGGGGGAAGAGGAGATAATTTTGGGACGGACGAAAAAAGAAAGCTTGAAGATAATTTAGGGACGGAGGGAGTAGCATTTTGTTTAGTATGGTTTAAAATATAAAATCTGGCCATACGAATAAGGGTAGTTTCTTTACGTGTTCTAATTGTCTAACGACTATCAATCTACTTTTTCACCTATAATATTTATCTAAGCACTAAAATTAATATGTAATACGATAGTACATCATAAAAAACTGAAATTAAACATGAAAAAAATCACTATTTTCATTAATATAATATATATACACATGAACGTACATGTAAATATATATATTGAAATTTTAATATTGATTAAAATGTACAAAACATTATAATAAATATTTTTTCTATTAATAAATTATATATCCTTTAATGTAATTTCATATTATCCGGACATTCTTTCAACTCTTTTTGCCAAACGGATCTACTATATTCAGTTGACAATGCAGATTCAACACTTCAAAATTCAGGTTCAGACAATAGTTTCTATTTTAGACAATAGTTCTTAATTCAGTCATTAACTTTCACTTCCAGTTCATTGTGTCAAACATAACCTAAATAACATCTAAATAGGTAGTGTTTACTTGTTCAATCTTGTAGTTGTAAATTTCGTGTCCCTACAATTCATTCCTAAATTTCGTGCAAAGTTTAGTTTATTTAGACGAAAAGAGATGAGGGGATGAGGAAAGAGGCACGGTTTGTAATCAATTACTACGTATGAAACTAATTATATGTTTGACTTTAGACCGTGTTTCCGCGGATCCACGGTGACTTTTATGCTATGCGGTACCTCTCCAAATCACAGATGTTAAATTATTGTCATCAGGCAGATATATACGCCTCTGCATTCATACTAACACGCAATTACCCATTCCATTTTTAGAGAGAGAGGGGGAGAGAGAGCACAGTAATTCAGTGAACGAGGATAGGGATGGGTTCTCTTCCCTTCCACGTTTTCTCGATTTAAATACCATATTTTCCGCTTTTATTCTGACTGCACAAGGAGTTTTGATCGGAGTTCCAGTTTTTATTCTCACTGCAGAGGAGTTCTCATAGGACTTCTCTCTTCATACTATACTCATTAATCCAGTTTTCGGCGAGGAGTTATTTTTTGATTGAATTGGATTTGGAGCTGGGTGGAGATGGGAGGATGTGTGTCCAGGTCGGTGAGCTCCGCCGCAGGTGGGAAGAAGAAGAAGAGTCGGAGGAGAAAGAAAACTGATTTACAAAAAAAGGCGACCTCTGGTTTATATGACCGAACATCTGATAGAGTTGACAAGACTTCTCCGCTGGCTCGATCTAACAACAACCCTGGTTCGTATTTTACTGGCTCGTGTATGCTCTTCTTATAATGTTTGTAGGCTATGTAAGTAGAATCTCCATTCCAGGGGTTTGATCTAATGAAACGGAGATGGATTGATCATTCTTTTTATTTTTAATTTTTTAATTTTTTTAGGTTTGGGGTTCAAAGCTGCGTTTTTGAAGGGTGGGCGTAGTTAGAAATATGTCTTTTAGTTGACATATAAGTTCATATCTCACTATCACAATTTAATTTGTATCTATACGGTAGAATAGAGTATGGGTTCTGCTGGTTTGGGATAGAGTTTGGGATAAAGTTTGTCTGTTTGTGGTTGGAATAAGCTCATTGCTGGAAAACTCTTTTGAGAAATACACTTGGAGTTACGTGGGGAAAGTACTTGCGGGGCTAAACTATTTGGTTAGGATTGCGTTAGGGCAAAAAAGAGATTTTTCTACCTCAATCACAATCTTAAATGGAGCCTAAGATCATACGGAGTATCATATATGAGGTAGTTAAGTAGTCTGATAATTGATGCCAACAGTTTTTTGGATAAATGGGAACTGAATGAAGTTTTGTATAAGTTAGATCTTGAGTTATTGGGGTTTGTGTATACAGTGAATGAACTGAATGCAAGGCCGTGAAAGAAAATATGATCAAGGCGGTCAAGGCCACATATTGGAGTTAATATTTCCCTTCACACCTCTCCTGTACCTGATTAAAGCTTACGCCTTTGAGTTGTATTCTCATTAATTTGTGCATTAGAAAACTGGATATTAGGTGATTTGATATAAAGTAATTTCTTAAACCATTGGAAAGACACTCGACCAGCCTTCTCTGTGACCCTTTACACTCTGCAGTCTGATACATTAGTGATTCAGTGATTGCATACTGTCATGCTATGAGAGTTAAAACAATTTTGACTTTCTATGTTATCCGGATAAATAAAGGTTAATTTCATATAATGGTCGGTAACAGGAAGTGTTGAAGAAGCATGGTTTGATTCACATACCATATTCGAATGCGAGTGCAGTGATGAAGAATTTCAGAGTGTAACTGATGGTATGTATTACTGAGGGGTAGTTATATTAATCCTCACCTATTAATGGTCTCATTTGTTGATGTTACTTTCTACTACAGATGCTCACTCTCTCAATGGATCTGAATCTGAGCATGTACATAGGCCTGGGAATTCATCTGCTAGCCATTCAGCTCGTAGCTCTGTCAGTGGCAATACCAAACCTAACATTCATCCACACAGTTCTATGCATCAGAAAGATGCTGAATCTGGATTAAGATCTGATGAGGTAAAGCCTCAAATTTGATCATACATACACATCCGGAAGTACTACGTAGTGGTACTTTGTAGATTTTCACGATGATTGCTCATTGTTTCTAAAGTATGGGTACTTCCTTTTGTCTTATTGCTATTAGAGAATGTTCATTTTCGTATGCGTGGTGTATGATTATCATAGTGTGTATCTTACTATCTTTAATATACCAACCAGGTCAAACAACCGGAGGAAATCTCTCCCTTTACAAATGAAAGTTGTACCAGCAGAGGTCATGGCTTGTTGAACGATTGTGGAATCCTTACACATAACTGCCTTCCTTGCCTTGCTTCAGCTGTTGCTCCTATTGAGAAGAGAAGATCAGTTGACTCTAGTCCTCCTCCGAGTGCAAGGAAGAAAGCTGCTTTAAAGCTTTCTTTCAGATGGAAAGAAGGACATCATTCCACTCTGTGTGAGTCTTTGTAGTTAGTTCATGCTTTGTTCCTTATCATTTTGTCGCACAAGCTGATAGTTCAATATTTTTTCCCTTTTAGTTAATTACATCTATCTTCTTTGACTTTTGGTCAAATTACAACATCACACTAGAGGTTTCTGATTATTACAAATAAACCTTTTGAATCAGATTTCCCAAAAATGATATTGAGAATTGATAGGATTAAATGGAAATTGAGTTTTTTCCGACTAAACTACCCTCAACAGGGTCCTAATCAGCCTTGTCAAAACAATGATTCAAATATTTTAGCTGATAAAAGAAATAAGAGATGCAAAATTCATCAAGAATACGAACTCAAGTCCTGTTAATATTCTACGATATATTAATCTTTCAGTGGTAAAAGGACCGTTTAAGGAAATCTGAATGGGTTAGGGGCTAACTTGTAATATTCAAAAACCTCAAGGTTCATTTAGTAATTTGACCAATTTGTGATTTTTGTAAATGTAGCCTGATGTAGGTTATGATATTTATTTTCGTTGTCTTTTTAACTGATTGCAAATGCAAAAAGTTGATTTTGGAACCATAGCAAGGTACTGATTTCATATGCATTGCAGTATCATCCAAGTCACTTCTGCTTAGACCTATAGCCGGTTCCCAAGTTCCATTTTGTCCCTTGGGGAAGAAAATGCCAGACAGTTGGTCTCCAATTGAACCGGGGACCTTTCGAATTCGAGGAGAGAACTACTTGAAGTAAGTAAATTCCATGCCCCAATATGTCATTCCTTAAAATTGTGCTCTTGCAATGTAATACCCTAGCTTATGTCACTCTAACTTTCGTAATTCTTCTTTCCCATTTTGATTATATTTTTCTTTGGCAGAGATAAAAAGAAGGAATTTGCTTCAAACTCTGCGGCATATTACCCTTTTGGAGTTGATGTATTCTTGTCTCAAAGAAAAATAGATCACATTGCTAGGCTTGTGGAACTCCCTATTACTGAATCATCAGGGATTCTTCCACAAATACTTATTGTGAATTGTCAGGTATAAATTGTAATCTACTTCATGGAATGCTACTATCAACCAAATGTGTTCTTTTATGTCATTAGGGTTACGATACGTGTAAACCTAACTTTGCCATTTGAATTTTAATGTCCTGCTATAATAGTGTCTGTGCTCTATTAGCCCATTCAGATGGACATTCAACAATTGAATTTGAAACATGCTAGGGTTTGTTTTGATTGAAGCCTTTGGAGGGCTTTGTTCTTGATATGTATTTTAGATTTCTAAAAGGTTGAAAGATAACATGATATGTGATCTGATAACATTTCAATAATCTGATAGTTGTTTTCAGTTCAACGTTCTATTTGTCAAGATATAGACTACACCCTCCAAAACTCTCATCGTGACAGACCTTTGTGTTTAAGTTCTGAAAAAACAACTAATGTATAAGTACTTTTTTATCATGAGAGAATATGGTAAGGTGAAGTCTTTACCTACTCCAAGACTATGCTCTGATTACATGCAATTATCTTATTGCAGATACCATTGTATCCGGCCTCAATCTTTCAGAGTGAAACTGATGGGGAAGGAATCCATTTTGTCCTATACTTTAAGCTTTCAGAAAGTTATTCAAAAGAGCTTCCATCTCATTTTCAAGAGAGTATTAGAGTAAGTTTGAGCTGCCATAATTTTGGTTGCGTTTTAATCTATTTCCCATGACGCAGGGTTATGCTTTTCCCATGCTTTTTATACTTCTCGTTTCTTTTACTTTATATCTTTGTTGATTTTACAACTTGTGGAGTAGTTTCTTTTTTAATGTTTACTTTTCCTGTATGTTCCATATCATCTTTCATGTTAGTTGACATCTTTGTTATTTATTTTACATTGAACAAAACAGAAGCTAATTGATGATGAAGTGGAAAAAGTGAAGGGGTTTCCAATGGACAGTATAACACCTTTTCGGGAACGGTTGAAGATTTTAGGCCGTATAGCAAATGTGGACGATCTGCCATTAAGTGCAGCAGAGAGGAAGCTCATGCATGCTTACAATGAGAAGCCTGTGCTTTCCCGTCCTCAACATCAGTTTTACACGGTAGGTCATGCCCAACATTTTCTTGTTCTTATAGCGGATTTATTTTTTCCAAATATTATATCAACATGTCTATAATTGTTTTGCAGGGAGAAAATTATCTTGAGATTGATTTAGATATGCATAGATTCAGTTACATTTCCCGTAAGGGGTTTGAAGCGTTTATGGATAGATTAAAGCACTTCAATTTAGATTTCGGCCTCACAATTCAGGCAAGTAATAAATGCCAATGGAAAATTTATTTACTATGAGATTTTCTACTTTCATTCTTTTATAACAATTGATGCAATGTTTTTTTGTAAACCAGGGTAACAAACCTGAAGAATTGCCGGAGAAGATATTATGTTGTGTACGTTTAAATGAGATTGATTACGCGAATTATCAGCAACTAGGCTTGAATCAAGATCTCTTTGAATAGGTGCACAAATTATGTAAACTCCCGGAATCATCAGTGCATATAAAAGTTATTTTTTTTGCTGCTTAAACTTCCTAATCATCAACCCAAGCTCCCTCACTTTTTTTTTTCAATCTGCAAAAATATTGTTATGCCAAAAGACAACAGACTTGTGCGAAAAACGCTTTCTGATGTGTCTTATGTTCCAAAAGAAGACCAAAACAATAGGCTCAAATTATGATGAGTAATATGACAAAGTTTACTATCAAGTATCAACATTACCATTTACCATGTTCTGTTTGCTTGTTGAAATGCCAAACAGGGCCAAAATTAACATTTACCATTGACATGCTACCTCTTCATTTCTTAGTTCTTGAAACATTTATGAGCAATTTTTCATAAAAACTATTTTAGCAATGGAATGGAAGTTCATAATGTGCCTCCAACTATTAACTATTTTACCATTAACTATTTTAGCAAGGGAGTAAATCCAATTTAGTGTTGCTGTCAACTGTATGAACCCACTAGGGGATGAATGGAAAGATAGAAAGCGTAGTGGGGAAGAGCGAAGAGTTGAAAGACCTTTAACTCTTTAAGTAAGGACAATTATTGTGGGAGTGGTCTTCAAATTTGGTTGTCGGAAATCCGCCAGAGAGATTGTCTGCGGATGGATCTAGGTTCCTTGCCAAATAACTACGTTTGAATAGGCACATTATGTATTCAATGTAATTAATAACTAAGAGGCCGTTTGGTAACACTGTTTATCGGCTTATCAGTCAACTTTTTCACCAAACATGTAACTTTTCTTTTCGCGCGCTGAATTGTGTAATAAGAAGAAAAAGTAAGGTTGAAGTTACTTTTCCGGTTGTATTGGTTGAAGTTACTGTAGATGATCATTTTAGCTATTTTTACATATAATTTTTTCTTTATTTTATTAATAAAATATATTTTAAAAGTATTTTTTTCTTAAATTGGCAGAATCAGTCAATGCAGCTACTTCAGCCAAAACTTCATAAATTTCAGCAGAATCAACCAAATCTGCTGATTTTTGTGTTACCAAATGGGCTCTAAGCATAAAAATATAGACAATTTTTGCATTTTGAGATGGAACGAATTGTCTATTATATTTAAAGTGCACATTGGTCCTAGGAGTAAAAATGATATGAAATTCAAAATATGAGTACTATATTTTCTTTTCACTTAAATACAAGTGACTTACTGTTGTACTATTTGTGATACGTTTATATGCACCATTTTTCAAAAGAAAAACATAGTACTCATATATATTTTGAAACTTCATATTAGTATTATTTTTGTTCTTATTAAAAGTAATTTACAGTAATTTCATTACTTTTGAATAAATATCGTATGCATATTTAATATCGGACTGTCTTGTGTTTTAATATAAAGGTTTTTTCCACCCAAAAATATTAGTACTACATTAAAACTTATTTAAACAAATATGACTAATAGTTACTTCGGAGTATAATATAATGCCATGGTAAATTAAATTAAAAAATGAACATAAATTATTATGATTCCATGACTACTCTAGTCATTAGTCACATTTTTGCTAATAATATTTAATTTAGCAATGAATTTGTAATTATTTTTAGTCTAAATGATTATTGCTTTACTACTAGCACAACCTTATAATATCATACTACGGGGTCTACGCCTACGTATAATGTTAAATCATCATCCATGGTTACAAATAATAATTGATTGAATTTATCAAGTATAAATAAATATCTAAAAACTAATTTTCTATTTTAAAAAAGTTGCAAAATATAAATTCTAAATGTAGAAGAAAAAAAATAGTTTCGTTAGACTATTTTTCTTTCTTTTTTTGCTTATCTATAACTCTATATAAGTACAGGGGAACATTGTTGGATTCTTTTCAAGATAAAGATAAAAAAGAAATTGCCCACAGATGTGATATTTTCAAGGTAAAACCATAGGAGCAATAGTTCCAACCTTTATTCACATGCGCATGTATATCATCTTGACAATATAGTTGAAATATACACTAACAATATACTACTATCTCCACCCCATCCCATGGTTCAGTTCCTCTCCATTTTTCATAAATTTCATTTCTTCTTCCTATCTCTCTAAAATCTCATCCACATATCCCATCTATAATCTCCCCCTCTATTACTCTCCACATGGAGATAGTGATTCCTTATTACAAAACATTAATTTGTATGATTAATATTGAAGTGATATAATAAAGTAAGAATAAATTAAAAATGATTTGTAATCACATAAATTTTAAAAAATTTGATATGGAACAATCTTACTGAGACAAATAAATCAGGAAAAATAGAGACAATTTTGACGGAATGAAGAGAATACCGTACAACTGAATGGAATTATAGATGTCACACGCCTCATAATGTTTTAAAGGATTAGGAGTATTATGGAAGCTACCATGGCATTATTATTGTCATAATAAGTCATTAATTATTAGCTCCAATTATACTTTGTCCGTATTCTTGGACTATAGATGAGTATAAAGGTGATTAGATGGCAACATATCTTTGTGTTGATAGCTACAGTTAACATATCCTAATGAAATGGGAAATGGTGACCATGTTAAAAGGGCATTATGTTTTATTAAAGTATCACTTATTTATTAGAACACGGATGCACTTAGAGGGACCGAGAGAAAAAAATTATACATACTCCATATGTAAATTTCTATATTTTTATATATTTAGGATTGATCTCTATTTATATTTTCTTATATACTACTATATCTTTTAATTAACTCTGATTCATTATCGATTCTTGACATCTGGTTAACCAATTTCAAACTGTCTTTTAGAAATAAGTCTCTAAACGTAACTCACTTTTTTAATTCTTTAAATAAGATCTAATATAGTAATATGTCTTGTAAAGTTTCAAGTAGTAAAAAAAACTAAATAGTTTAGTTATTGCCCAATATAGGAGCAATCATAAACATAATTGCACAAATAAGAGTAGAACATGAAACTTCCTTCAATAGGAGTGAACCTAATTAATTTTAAAATATGACTTATTTGATCCTATTAAAATATGAAAAAATTCTAAAATATTTTTAAAAAATATTAAAATTATAAAAATTAAAAAATTATTTTTTTAAAAAATAAAAAACTTTAAAAATAAATAAAAAATAGATAAAACACATTAAAAAATATAAAAAATATGGAGGCCTTTCCTGCTGCCCCGACCACCACCCAGCAATTCCATCTCTCATCGGCAAAAAATTCCATTTGAATAAAAATGCCAAATTTTCTAAAAAACTGCCATCAAAATGGCATCTTTGACAAATGTTGGCATTTTTCCCGTTGGTCGGAGCTGGTGGTGCTGGGAGGTTGTTGAGGCGGCGACAGAGATCTGCATCTTTTTTTTTTATATATTTTTTTCATTTTTTATTTTTTTATTTAATATTTTTTTTATTTTTATTTTTTTTTGTTTTTATTAATTTATTTAATACGGAGTATATTTTTTAATATATATTTTCTTGTTTTTTATTTTTTATGATTTTATTATAAATGAATTAATTTTTTTTATATTTTAATTATTAATGAAAGTGGTTGGGGCTTGGGGCTTGAGTAGGGGTATATGTGTCCAAACATTAAAGTTTCTCATATTCAAAATATGTACTCCTATTTTTGCATTTTGCGTATTTTTTTTACTCCTATTTGGGAAATTCTCTCTAAATAGTTTGATCTATTTTAGTTTATGTTTTCTTCATAAACAAAAAAGTTATTAATTTCTTAATTTGAGCAAAATAGTAATACAAAATTTCACTCATTTAAAATACATGATATTGAACTTATTATAATCGAGTGCTATTTGCCTATTTTTTGTAAAATTTATCATTATAAGATAAACATTTAATATATTGCATGATTTGGTCGAACATATATCAAGCTATATTCAATTATACTGGACCTATATATGAGTCATGTACGATGTATAAAAATAATAAAATGGAGACATATTTATTATAGTTTCTGACATATTAAAAAAAGCTTTCGATATTGAGTAATTATTACTGTATTAAACTTTTAAAACATTTAGCATTTCATTGATTTAAAATACTTTCCTCGACTACACGCATTCAATTATACCAAAATATAATTTGTTTCTCCATTCACGGAGTATGTATATGGGGGATGATTCAAATAAAAAGTGGTCTTAACGTGCAAAGTGTAAAGTTTGCACTTTTTCATTTTTCGCTTGCACTTTTTCTTGCTTTCGTTGCACTTTTTCGTAGGAACTCAAAAAATTTGGTTTATTTACAAATATGCCACCGTCATTTTGGCCGAATTTGGCCAAAATCAAAATGACCAAAAAGTGCAACACAAACAAGAAAAAGTGTAAGCGAAACATGAAAAAGTGAAAACTTTGCACTTTGCACGGGAAGACCACTTTTCATTTGAACACATATATATGTGTGTGTGTATATGTGTGTATATATATATATGTATATATATATATATATATGTATATATATATATGTATATGTATATGTATATGTATATATATATATGTATATATATATATATGTGTGTGTATATATATATATGTGTGTATATATATATATATATAGTTGAATAAGGCAAAAGTATTTTAAAAATACCACACATTTGTCCACCGATTCCGATTAGCCTCTTTTATCGTGAAATTGAAATAATAACCATTTAAAACATAAATTTGAAGAAATACTATAATAGATTAGAGAGTACGTTGAAAGATTATTTGAAATGTGAAGTTCAATTCTAAATATGTATGGCCGCCGGTGTACGGTGTACCCGTACGTGTTGGCATGGGGTGAAACTAAGGCGGCAAATTAGTGGTGGCGCTCTGGTTCCGTGACGGCAACTTAGTGGTGGCGCTCTGGAGTATAACACTAGTTCATGAAACAATATATTATCTCTGTCTCGAGTTAAACGTTTCAGTAAAAAATGACACAGTTATTTATACTTTAATCAAATATGGTTATCGAGTATGCATATTTTGAGAAAATAGTTTTGAAGTCACTATTAATAACTAGTCCCTCCGGTTTTTAATAAAGTTACACTTTGACTTCACACATATTAAGTAGTGTTGGACTCGGGTCGGGCCACCTGAACCGCTACTGTGCGAAACCGGAACCGGCCCAATTCTCGGGTCCAGGTCGGGCTTAACCCCAAATTGTTTTTTTTTTCATTTTTGGGGTTCCACCCGGGTTGGGCTTGATGGTTAGGATGGGTTTGGGGGGGTTTGGGAGGGTGGGGGGTGGGGGGGTTAGGAAAGCAAAAAAAAAAAAAAAAAAACCAAACCGGAGGCCCGGCCCGGCCCGGTGGCTACCCGGGCCGGTCCCGGGTCCACCATTCCTGAACCGCCAGCCCGCCCCGTACCCGACCCGGACCCGAGTCCACCCCTAATATTAAGGAAATAAATTTGACATTACTGTAGATTACACTGTTTGACAATGTTTCGCAATGTTTGGTGTAGATTTGTTTTCCAAAAAGAAATCTAATTAAGAACCGGAGGGAGTATGATAATATAAATGTACCGTTTCTAGTATTTGATGATTAAATTATTATTTAAGATTGTTAATTATTTTTTAAAGAAAAAATATAATTTTTTAATTAAAATATAGGAGCTCTTTCAGCCGATGTAGTTTATTGCGGGATGCACTACTTCAATTCGCTCCAACCACTTCGACTTCATTACTTTGCATAATTTTTGTAATTAAATAAATATACTCCTGTAACGTGTTCATGATTGATATAACTTCCGCCATAATGGCTTTTAAATGTTTTACGTTTCTATATTTTAATTTTAATTTTATATGATATCTTTTCAGTGTAAATTGTAAAACATTTGTCATTACTTCCTCAGTTCCTTGTCCGGAATTTCCAAAATTTAACACTAATCTAATACAATAATTCACGAAAATATCTCTAAAATGATTTCAATAATTTTCAAACTTATCTCAATATATATTATGAAATCTAAAAAATTGACCAAGAAGCTTTTAACCTTTTCGTCCCTTTCTTAAAGAAAAACCTTTTCGTCCCTCTTCAAGCTAGCATTGATTTTTATAAACTCAACTTGTTCACTTGTTCTAGAGTTGTTTTTGGTGGTACTTCATCCCATATACGTGCTCCTTGGGAGTTTAGAGTTTGAAACTAGACGTGCTCCTTGGGAGTTTAGAGTAATGTCATCAAACCACAAAGTATTTGATAACTTGTCCTACCGATGTTAAAGTTAAATCTTCCCTATTGATAATAAATAAATTTTTAATAATTACAATTTACATATTCAAAAACTATATTAGAATCTCTATAATATTACAAAATCCAAATTAGAACATAATTAAAAATTGATATCATAATTAAGCGAATAAAATGAAACGATTTGACCAAAAAAAGTTGAATAAGCAAATCAATTTCGGATGGATGTAGTATAAATTAACTAAAATCACAAAAACAATTATTGAATTAGTATAATAATGGAAAAATGAGAAAATATTACCTCCACACTTTTAAAGGACAAAAATATAATTGAAAATATTACTTTTATTTTTGAAAATGTGACTAATCTTTGTTTAATTATTCACACTTTGAAAATTTTGCATGCAAAGTTGTTGCATATAAAATTGAGGAAATCAATCTCTTTGCATGTTAAATTAAAAATAAATTATTAAGTTTAGGTGTACAATTTATTTTTAATTACACTCAAGGTCATCATCTTACTTTATATAAAAAGTAAATGTTTAAATGATATGATTCAAAATGTTTAAAAATGTGACCTACAATTTACAAAGAAATAATGTCAAATATATAATCAAAGAAATAATGTCAAATATATAATCGAATAAGGATATTGGATAAAAAGTTACTGGATAACTTTTATTGACTCATTATGTCCAAATTTACATCACAATAACTATAATAATATACACAATCACTTCGCAAATTATATCATGGAATCGGCCCATCATGCACATGGTGTGCCGATCCTCATACGACACCGTTTTGCAATTAAAAAATAGAGCAAAGCGTCGTTCCTTTTTCCCGGCGAAGGTGAGCCCCTTCCTTTCCAACTTCCCAATCGTTAGCTTCGGATTGCGAGACACTTAGAAACGGAAATAGCCATAGCAGAGCATTGAGTGGAGAGCACTTATTCCTCTTCTTGTTCGAGCACACTAAATCCGAATCCAGAAGTGGTACTCCATCTATCCATCTACAAAGACCACATCTCCCTCAAGGACTACGAAATCCATGACGGTATGAGCGATCTATACTCCGTGTCTATTTGATCTCTCTGTCAGTATGTAATTGAACCATCACTAGTGTAGAAAACACTTTCTATATGGATTAAAAATCACTTTTTACGTCGGTTCCCGTAACGACATAGTAGCCAGCGATATAGAAAGTCAGACATTTTTCGTGTCGAGTAGTCGTACCCCTTATCGAATGTTTTTTATAACGGTTACGAATTTAACCGTTATAGAATGTTTTCCGTGTTAGTCCAATGATACCCCATATAAAATCCTTTTTATATGGGTTAAACCACCAACCGTTTTTGAATGTTTTTAGAAAGTAAACCATAAATCCAATAGATTATGCATAATAATATTTTTATATACTATATCAACATAATGAAATCATTATTATTTTAGATTAGTTTATTTTGCATAAACAAGCCCCTTACTATAAGTCAAAAACAGTTGCTCCCTGATCAAAAGAAAATGAAAAGAAAATCAAAATATGGACAATCAGATACACAATACCTAGTAGCCCACACAAAGCAACCACAACATCCCTAAACAGCAAGGGACAGGCCCCTTTCTGTAACCCTAAAACAATAGCTAAGCAAAATACATTCCTAAAATAAGACAGGTCCAAGCATGTCAATAAAAAAATCATGACAAGTACTAGAACTCAATGACGATGCTCGGGTACAAGCTGAAAAGTATTCTATACACCACCACTTCAATTTTCATACTGAAATCAATTTAAGGAATAACATATGGTAGAAAAATTAAATCAATTCTCAACACTTGTTAGATTCATGGGAAATGTGTGAAAACTAACTATAACATACCAGATGGAGGAGAAGACAATATGTTGAGGTCAGTCCAGTAGACTTCAAATGGAACATAGCGAAACTATACTGATGAAATCAGAAGAGAGACTAGAAAAGTTATCTGAGAGATCATAAATATAGAGAAAATTAGCAAATATAATTATAGATGAACTCTTAGAAGATACCTTGAGGAGGTAAAACTAAGTCTGATTTTCTACCAGAGCAATCAATTGTTGAGGTTTCAAGGAGTGGGGAAAGCATTGAATGGCATCCATTTTGCCGGGAAGAGGCATTATGCTCTTCTCAGCCCTTGGTTTTTCATTGAGACATTTTAACAAATAGGTATAGACAACTAAAAACATAAACCTAAAAATCTTCCAGCTTCTTCATAAATCAAAACGAAATTAAGCAAATACCAGAGAAATATATACATGAATCAATTATGAAAAGTAAAACCATATACATATTTAGTGTGTAAGAAAATTATCCGTTGGAAAAATGGTCTCTGACGAAGGAGATGAAACGTTGAAAGAAGTAGCGCCGTTTGATTGGGAGCAGCAGCAGTGGTCGTCAAATCCCTCTTCTGCGTCGACGTCGTCTTATCCGTCGAAGTCCTCCTCTCCGTCGAAGGTCTTCTCTGTACTCCGTATAGTTCGTATTCTTCGTGAAGGGTTTAAAGAGAAAGATTCATTGTCCTTGCGCCGAGAGCTAGGTTAGATTAATCGGCAGCATCTTTCGTAAGGGTTAAAAATCAGCTGACATAAAAAGCATTTTAAAATATTATAAAAAAGCCTCTATTTCAAATTTAAGTTTCCAAAAATTATTTAAATGACCCCGTTTTTACTTAACAATGTCGGTTATTGTTTCAACCATTACAAATAAGATTTTATATTTATAATACTTACCCGGTGAACTTACTCAACTTTTATTATTTATAAATATGACCCCGCGTCTACATTTCATAACGGTAAAATGTGAACCCATATTAAAAGCCTAGTTATAGAATGTGTATTTTGCACTAGTGCGTAATAAACATCATAAGCATCATCTTTCCAACTTCTAGTTGTATCATGAATTCTCTATTGTTTAGGGAATATTTTGTTGTTGGGGACTTCAACGGTCCTTAATTTGTTGTATGCCCGTGTAAACCATGCAATTGTTTATTGGGAATAGAAAGAAAAAAGAGGGTTACATTTCGCATACACTAGAATTATATTTCGTTTTGGCTAAAGTTACATCTTGTAACACGCGGTTTACATTTCAATTTTCCTCAATAAGTTACGTGATTCTGTTAAGGTGTTACGTGATTCGCATTGTTTTGTGGTATAACTTGTATTATGGCCGATTTGGGTAGGGTGTTACATGACCCTCCTGAAATTTTATTTAGAGGAATTAGTGTTCTCTTGTTTAGTGTATTTCGTACACTCCTGAAATCTTTTTAGAACACTATTACTCCTGAAATCTTTTTAGTACACTATTACACTATTACATGTGATTTACAATCGCCATAATACAGGTTACACCACAAAACAATGCGAGTTACATAACAAAATAAACTCCCGTTATTCAAACAAAAATGTGTTTTTATATTAAAAATCATATTTAATGGTTCTAATATTAAAAATAAAATATATGCACTATTTATGTAAAATAATTGGGCAATTAGAGTCTTTTTTTCCATTACTTACACTAAAATCAATATTTTACTTCTTATATTCTGTTCTATACAACTTACATTTAGACTTGGTGGAACTCAAAATTTTACATTTTATTTACATTTAAATTATTCAATTGAATTTTTTTTATTGGTCCATACCATCAAGGTACCATACCTTCAAGGTACCATAGTAATTGCCAACATTTAAATAAAACTCCACGTGGAATGATCTAACCATATGATGAAACTTGATGCATCCATACATTTCGCATCCAACAAAACTACTTCACATCCCAAAACAATTAAAACATGAGAAAGTTCCAGGAATACGACTAAAACAGTTTCAAAATGAGTAAATTCCTAAACTAGGAGTAAATCATAACAAAAGTGCAATAATAGGAGTACATTGTTTCGTGTGATATCATAGGAGTAAAAAGACATGTCTGGACAAAACTGCCCTTAATGAAAACCCTAATTATATTTATTAAAAATGTAAAATAGAATAATTAAAAGGCTGTAACATAACGATAGCATAGCCTCTTGCGCTAGCACCACCCACCACCTACACTAGATGTCGGCGCCGCCTGACACCAACATCACCTCGCGGCCGATCGCTCCGCCGCTGGACGCCGCTGGATGCTGCCACCACCAGTCACGGCCGCCGCCACCGCCGCCGGTGGAATTCATGTAACACCACCACGTTTTGCTCCATCACTGTCCATCTAAAATATGTGCAACTTTGTAAATGTAATCTAACCATTTGAATGTCATTTGTATATACCCGAGTATATTAAAAACAGAGGATATGAATTTTCTGGCCATCTTGACCTTTTCTTGGCATTATAAATAGTGTATTTACAAGGGTATAATATTGCCATCATTGTGAGTTATTGCCATATAATTGGCACTATTGGTGTTAAAAACATGACATTATTAGTATTGTAATTGTCATATTGTTTTTAAAAAAATGGCACTATGTGCCAAAATAATATTTTTATAATGAAAAATGGCATTATGTGCCGAAATTACAAAAGAACTCAAGGAGAGGAATCTGAAATTTTTATAAAATGTCAAAAATTATAATACATATTGTAAAAGATAAAATTTCAAAAGAATAAAATCTTGATAAAAATTTAAAGTCAGAACCGAGAAGAGAGCAAGAAAACGGTTTGATTGAAACAAATCATGAAAGAGAAAAAAATTGAAGTGAAAATCAGTCAAAAGGGGGTAAATAAGCAGCAACTTCACACTGCAAAAAAGGGGGAAACAAAAAGGAAGAAGAAAAAGAAGAGAGAAGAAGAAGGGAGAAGAAGATGATACAAACTAACCTGCGATGATCGATGCTCTTGAATTCTTGATTGGAGTTGGTGAGAAAGATTAATTTGTAACAGTAGAAGAATGAGAAGGGCTAGTGCTCCTACAATGATGAATTGAAAGAGAACGTGCAAGTGATGCGTGTGACAGGAGAAAAAAAAAGAAATGAGTGGAGATAGAGGAGAGAGAGGGTGTGAGGATAAGACGGACGCGGGAAAAAATCAATAGAAGGGTATAATTGGAAAAGAAATTGCACGGTCAAATAGTTAACTCCTATTTGGAGAATAAATCAATATGAACTCCTAATTTGGAACTTCTTTATTGTTTTACTCCTATTTAGGGTAAATACTTATTTCAAAATTTCAAAATATGACTGTCAAGTTTTTTATTCCCAAAATAGGACTAATTAATGTCAAGTTTCGAAAACACTGCCATGTTTGAAGTATGATCTTTCTATATACAAAACGAAGTGGGAAGCCAGCCACTTTTCCCGCCCAAACAATGTGCTCTCAACGGGGTCCACTTCATTAGAGTGAATTTATTTTACTTTAACTTTTGTTTAAATGAAAGATTCTCTCCAATATTGATCTATGCAACGGATCAGCAGGTCTGGGGTCCACTTCATTTATTGAATTTTGTTTGCTTGAACTATTGCTTGAACCAATGAAAGATTCGGCATTTGCAGTGAAGATTTTTTGGGTCCGATGTATTGGATTTGAGTCATGAAGAAGAGTGAATTTACTTTACTTTAACTTTTGTTTAAATGAAAGATTCTCTCCAATATTGATCTATGCAACGGATCAGCAGGTCTGGGGTCCACTTCATTTATTAAATTTTGTTTGCTTGAACTATTGCTGGAACCAATGAAAGATTCGACATTTGCTTTTAAGATTTTGTTGGGTCCGATGTATTGGTCAAACGAATCAGTTTAGAGATTGAGCATTTAATGAAGTGGTTGGGGGTTGAGCATTTAATGTGGTAGTTGGGTGTTCAAACTTATGAATATCGTTTGCCTATAAAAGCTGACATCGGATGTTTTCAAACCAACACTCCCTTCACTCCCTTCATTCACTCCCTTCACTCAACATGACAACAAACACTAACGAAATTCCCAGAACATTGCACTCGATGATAAGGGACGTTGATCATACCAGATCAACATGGGCACTCAAAGTACGAGTTGTGAGGGCCGTTGAAATGTCTGCCCAAACTAAAGGAGGTCAAAGAATGTAGGTTGTTTTCCATGACGAGGAGGTAAACTATGCTTTTGCGTTTTTTCCATTTACTTTCGTTGACATCGGATTTTATATTCATAAGCTTTTTTTTTGGCTAATGTAGGGTGAAAAGATACATGCATTGATTAAGAGACCCCTTATGCACCTGTATAAATCGAGGATGCTGGAAAACCAATGCTTTAGGATAAAAAACTTTTTGGTGCTCGACAATTACTATACGTACAAAACTACCCCGCACCCATATATTCTGGAATTTATTAAAAAAACCACAGTTTTCGACCACCCTTCAGAAAACTTTCCGAATTTCATGTATGATTTTCATCAGTTCGACATGCTGCAGAGCCTAAGGGTTGTGAACGATAAACTGTTGATATGTACTATTTTAAATATAAATTTTTTAGAGTGGCCGTTGGTACTATTATATTACGAAATGTATAATAAACAAATGTATAACTCACGTTATCCTATGTCAGATGTGATTGGAAAAATTGTTGGAAAAACACCTCCACAGACGCATGTGATAAATGGCAAGCCAGAGCGTCTAATAGAACTAACTTTGGAGGATCCCGAGTTAGTAAAAGTGCTTAACTTATTAATTTTAACTTATGGCTTTAGTTTTCAAAAGGATTTAACCTAATGGTCTTATATAGGGGTAACCGTATACGAGGCACGCTATGGAACAACTACTGCAAAGAATTCTGTGACTTTTACGCAGAGCACAAGAATGAAACCATTTACATAATTCTTCAAATGTGCAGACCAAAGCGTTACCAAGGTAGTCTATTTAATAAGAAGATTTTAATAAGTCTATGAAAACATATGTAATGCTTATGTATTTTTTAATGGCAACTCAGGATCTGTGTTGGTGTCTACTTCCTACGACATATCTAAGTTGATCATGAATGGAACGTCAACAGAGTTTGAGGACTTCAAGGCACAGTACACACCACATGAACACCATGTTAGATAAACTAACCACTAGGAATTCCCAATCTCATTCTACTTATTAACTTGACAGATTTGGACCAGAAAATGAGGAGGTAGCTACTGTGACCATTTTCACTGGGAATAGCATAGGCCACGACATGGAAGAAGTACTGAGAGGAAATGCAAAAATCATAGGGATAAGTGAATTCTTGGATGATGCAAAGGTACCTAAATCTTACCATAGACCAAACGCACAGCAAATATATTATTGTTATCTAATATTTTGTCATTCTCTTGCCTAATGCAGGATGGCACCTATTGGATTTTGGGAGATATTGTTTCTATCGACAACTACAGAGAGTGGTGTTATCTAAGCTGCCCTATGTGCAACAAAAAACTCCAGCCCGAAGATGACAGGTTTAGGTGCAACAATTGCAACATTTCTCTTCCAGGAGGAACCCTAAGGTATAAAGTTCCCGTCTGCATCATGGATGACTCCGGACATGCATCCTTTACCCTTTGGGACAAGGAATGCATTGAAGTGATCGGAAAAACAGCAGCTGCCAGCAGAAAGGAAGTTGAAAAGGTACGACGACACATAATGTTTTCCCAACTTGACTAGATATCTTCATTAAGAAAGTTTAAAATGATTTTTTTGAAAATGTTACAGAAAACGGGAGATGCTCAACACTTTCCAGAGGATATCGAGGCACTGATAGACCAGAAGGGACTCTTCAAAGTCCAGGTCAAAACCAGAGCAGAAAGTTCATCCTATCAAGGACCTCTTTCTTATGGGGTTGTCGCCATGATCAGGGACCCTACGATTTTGGCGCTTTATGTTAACGCATCTGAACAAGCAAAAGGACCGGAAACTTTAACTGAAGAGGAAAAGGTTTTAATATTTTGAAGTTTTTTTTTTAATTTTGGGACGCACTGCCTTGCTGACTTTATTCAATAATGACAGAATGGTTTTGATGCTAATGATCACTTGGAGGGAGAAAATGACAACGGTATAAGAAAAGGTCTTTCCATATATAAGGTAAGGGTGTCATTTACATTGAAAAACAAGGTAGATGGTGACAAGTTTTACTAACCCTTGAAATATGTTTTTATAGGCTGTCGTGACAGAAGATGAGGATGCTTCTACGCCTATTCAAGTTCAAGCAGCCGAGATGGGATTGGAGAAGGTGATACTCAAAATTTTTCAGAGTGTAGTCACAGTTAATTAAAAACATCACACGACTAGCTTAACTTAATTCATTACATTTTTCAGGACAAGGATAGAGTGGTGGAGGAAGCTACTGCATCAGCAAAAGGGAAACGAGTGGTGATAGGAGGGAATGATGAAGTAAATAGGAACCTGCTTGATTAGTTTTCAGCAAACATCAACACCAACAAGAGAAGGATCCGAGTTAAGCAGGAGAAGGCCTAAACAATGTGACCAAGAGGAATCGGCTACCTAGAACTCTATTTTTCTAAAATCATTCTGCTACTAAAACTCTATTTTGCTAAACTTATTTTTTGGGCCTGTAATATTAACTATATTTTGCTAAACTTCGTGCTACAACTGTAATTTTGCTAAACTTGGTGCTGAGACCTGTAATGCTTAACCTTAGGATTTGTTATAATTTTGAAAATGTTTTTGGTATATCTGTTTGGTCGTGACTATGATGTGCAGGAAAGGATAATTCTTAGACGCAACTACATTTGGGCAATACATCACAGGAAAACGAAGACGAGCAAAACTGAAAGAATGTGAAAGTGCAACCTCTACATGAAACAACAAATAGTGTCATTTGTAATATATGGCATGTTAAAGTGCAACCTCTACATGCAACCTGGACATGGAAAATTAGTACACATTCAGTTCTGAAATCATAGTCATACGATGATAATTTGTATTAAATCAAAAAAATTAGGATAACAAACGGGGCTATGTAAAACAGTATAGAATTTTAAATAATAAAATGATTTAACAAAAATATTTGTATCAAGTCCAGATTTGGTTGGCATATAAACACTATTTGCTACTTCAATGTTTTGGTCATTTCTGATATAATGCATATATGCACAGCCAGTGGAGGAGCTAGGGGGGGGGGGGGGGGCAAGGGGGGGCAAGCGCCCCCGCTCCGACTAATTTTTTTTACTAGTATTACTTATAATATGTTTCTTGCCCCGACTTCTTTTTTGATTTTAAAGATGCCGCTTTCTGTTTTTGGTGTTACCTTTTTTCATGGGCATGAAGGAAAGAGATTTGGTGATGATGTGTTTGTGAGGACCGGATTCCGTAATTGGAAGAAAGCTCTTGAAAAATTTAGAGATCATGTTGGTATTGTAGAGAGTGTGCACAATGATGCTAGAACACAATTTTTTGCTTTCAAAAATCAAAAACAAAGTATTTCAAGAAGTCTCTCTTCAGGAACACAACTGTTGGGTGCGGCATACCGTACTCGTTTGAATGCAAGTGTGGATTGTGCTAGATTTTTAATTGCACAAGGATTGGCTTTTCGTGGTCATAATGAGCGAGAGAGCTCATTAAATAGAGGAAATTTCTTGGAATTGCTAGAATGGTATAGTGCACGCAATGCCGATGTGGCAAAAGTGGTGAAAGACAATGCACCTTCGAATCACCAACTTACTAGTCCTATGATTCAAAAAGATATTATTAATGCCTGCACATCACAAACAACAAAAGCCATAATAAATGATCTTGGTGACAAGTTTTTTTCTTTATTGATTGATGAAGCTCGTGATAGTTCTGTGAAAGAACAAATGGCAGTTGTTGTGAGATATGTAAACGATCATGGAGTTGTGATTGAGCGGTTCCTTGGGGTTAAGCATGTTGTTGAGACCACATCTCTTTCTTTAAAAAGTGGCATTGATGATTTTTTTTCAAAACATGAATTATCAATGTCTAGAGTTCGAGGACAAGGGTATGATGGAGCTTCTAATATGCGAGGTGAGTTGAATGGATTGAAGACTCTTATCTTGAATGAAAATCCACATGCGAGATATATTCATTGTTTTGCTCACCAATTGCAATTAGTTGTCGTGGCTATTTCTCAAAAAAATAATTTTGTGAGTGATTTCTTTGAATATTTGTCCATGATTACTAACATGGTTGGATCCTCTTGTAAAAGAAAAGATGAATTTCGCCAAAAACAACATGAAAACATGGTAGCCATGTTAGAAAAAGGTGAAATTACGACCGGGAGAGGATTGAATCAAGAAAGTACTTTAGCACGACCGGGAGCTACTCGATGGGGTTCACATTTTACAACCATTATTCGTATTCTATCTTTGTGGTCTCCAACAATCCAAGTGCTTGACAATATATTTGATGATGGAATTGATTCGAAATCAAGGGGCAAAGCTAGTAGTTTGGTTGGAAAAATGGAGAGCTATCAATTTGTTTTTATAGCCCACTTGATGAAGAAGGTATTGGGATTGACGAATATGTTGTCACATTTCTTGCAACAAAAAGATCAGAACATTCTTGAGGATGTGAGCTTGATTAAAAGCACTAAAGAGAAGTTCCAAGATTTGAGAGAAAGTGGATGGGAAGAGCTATTAGAAGATGTCAGTAAATTTTGTGTGAAGAATAAAATTGACATTCTAAACATGGAAGATACAACTCATCGTTCTAGACGCGTTCGCCATCCGGTAACAAATTATCATCACTTTCGAGCTGATATTTTTTATCAGGTATTTTTATTAAAATTTAAATTATTTATTAGTTGTTATTATTATTATTATCATTATTATTATTACTATTACTACTACTTTTTATTATTATCTTATTGTAGGTTATAGACCAGGTCAATCTGGAAATGGAGAATCGCTTTAGTGAGTCAAATACAGATTTACTCGCTTGTTTAGCTTGCCTTGATCCTAAAGATAATTTTTCCAATTTCTTTGAGTCAAAGCTACTCAGTCTTGCGGAGTTATATTCATCTGATTTTTCAGTTGTTGAGCAAATGGAGCTTAAAGAACAACTCCAAGTTTGGATATATGAGATGAGAGGAAATGAAGCATTTTCCACTTTACAAAGTATTGGTGAAGTGTCTAAGAAGATGATTGAGCTTACAATTCACAAATCTTTTCACTTGGTCTATCGTCTTATTGAGTTGGCTCTAGTGTTACCAGTTGCAACAGCCACAGTTGAAAGAGCTTTCTCAGCGATGAATATTATCAAGACAGATCTTCGCAATAAGATGAGAGATGACTATCTTACGGATTGCTTAGTATGGCTACATCGAAAGAGACATTTTTCAAGCAATTGATAATGAAGCTATTATGCAGCATTTTCAAAATATGAAAACTCGTAGGATTGATTTGCCTAGGTTGCAGAAGTAAATCAAGTAGTATGTAATGAACTATAATTTTTTGTTAAATTATTACGCTATTGTTGTTCTTATTATATTTTGGACACGAACTTTAAAATTTTTAGTCTTTGGTTTGCCCCTCCTTGAACAAACCTCTGGCTCCGCCACTGTGCACAGCAGTTCAAACAAAGGAGGTTAACGGATACATACCTGGTTTAGATTTGTTGACCTGCAATCCTAAATCTAATATAATTATTACATACAAGGGCACCTAAATTAAGGCCCCAATTCCTACGAATTACATTCATAAAATACTATAAAACAAATTGATTCATCCTCAAAGCACCTGCATTCAGTAATAAAAACAGAGTAAGTAATAATATTTTGGACATAAAATTATTGTGAACATAAAATTTTAGAAAAATTTCAGAAGTTATAACAGTAGTGGACTTCTACGTATATTAAAGGAAATATGTACATTTTTTTAAAAAACAGATGATTTTAAAAACCACAGTATGTTCACAAAAAAAATAGATGATTTTAAAAACCACAGTATATTTCTTGGTTCACAAAAAAATGTGTAGGAAAAATAGATTATCCTCATACACTAGAAGCAAAAAAAAACATAGTAAGTTATTATTTCAGGCATTAGTGTTATTTAACACATATAAAACTTCAGAAGTGCTAACAACGGTGGATTTGATTAAAAATAATAGATTTATTACTTTTAATAAGTTGAGTATATTCTGGGGATTATAAAAAACCCAAAACAAATGTGTTCAAAATATGATTTACTTTAAGTAGTTGATTTACTTTAAAATAAATAGTTAATGTGTGCTCAAAATAAATCATACTTTATCATTCAGTAGAGTGAATATGGTTTACCAGAATGTATAAGAGAATCTATATAAATTAGTTGAAAAACATAGAGGGAATCATTGGTTCAATTTATCAAAACAGATCTGAGATAAAGTCATGTCCGATTTACCTTATATCATTCTAAATTACCGAAGTCATTTAACTTGGACTCAATATTAATTGAAAGTATAAAAGAACCTGGATTTATGTTTTTTACCATAAAATATCGTAATATTTTGAGCACATTTGATATTGGCCTATTATTGTGTTATATTGAATATACATTTATATATGTATATGTATAACACGCAGGCCGTACAAAAAAACTTTAAATATATAGAATCTTATATATATATATATATATCAATTAAAATAAGTTTAAATGATAATGCATACAATAATATAATAAATTAAATCAGTAGAAAATTTCAATGTAGGAGTTCTGATGAATATACGAAAATTTACCAAAGATTAGAGCTGAGTATAGACTTTTTGAAAACCGCCATTGAAAGCACCTGTTCTAAATACTAAATATGGCCGAAGTTGTTGAAAATAGATTGTTCCCGAGGTGGCAATTAATAGTCTGTCAATGTGGTTGAAAATCGGGTGTTCCCAAGGTGCATTTATTATAATCTCAGACCAGTCATTTTAAAAGTGTGAAGGGGTATAGATACGTACCAACTTATTTGCGTATCAAAGCAACTGGATAACATAAATACTCTTTATTGCTTCAGCTACTACCTCAAGTATTCATTAATGAGACATACCAAACCTTGGAAGCAGAGCATCCCGCACAAGGTGTGAAGTTCATATACGGACCACAACGCATTCATTTCTTATCAACTGTAAGTCAGATATCAATGTTGTCATATGCTTTCAAAACATTTAATTATGCAGACTGAATGAACCACGCACATTTCGTGAATGACATGTTATGCATTTTGAGTGTGAATTTAATATTATATAACCTACTTCGTATTCTAGCCTTTCAAGATGAGTGAGTGTTCATGTCATGAAAAGGAATACTGTTGACTAGAATACGTGGGATGCATAGATTAAACGCGTTATTGGTGAATGACATGACTCAAAAAATATATATTTTCTGACCGAAAATTTGTAGATCTAAGTAGATCTAAATGCAGAAAAATAATCAACGTTGAATCATAACACATGCCCGAACCACAGAATCAAAGATCTAGAAAGATCTATTCAAATTTCGGCATGTAATCTATGATTTTTAAAATTCAGCGCAAATAAATAATATCCGCATAAAAAAATGATAACAAGAACTTCAAGTTCAGTAGAAGACTAAATCATAAAAGATGGGAGGAGGGTTAGTTCAGCGACAGAGATGAAGGTGGTAGGAGGGTTTTGCCCCAACACAGCCACCCTTGTGCTATACCAGTCAGCCCCAACACTGGCGAGAGTAGTTTTATCTGATGGTTAACATCGGTGAGAGAGGTAGAGGGAGAGGAGTTTATCTGATGGTTAACATC